TGTGTGTGTGTGTGTGTGTGTGTGTGTGTGTGTGTGTGTGTGTGTGCATGTGTTCTGATGTGTGTGCTTTACGCACTCCATGGCATGTTCCACTATGCCAGGTATATTGCTCCGGTGACAGGTCATCGGCACACCTCTAGCTCAGAAACAGACCGCAAGTATGGTAGATCCCATCTTTTGTGGCGAAAAAAACATCTACTTAGGCCTCCGAGAGATCTGGCGTCTCATGAATCCTTGCTGCTGTCCCATAATTAATGTGAATGCTAGTATGTGTCCAAACAGGCTTGCTTGTCGGCGTCCAAAGCTTGGGATTGTCCACTGAGTAGGTTTCGTACTACATGCCTCGCTATTACTCGCCTATGCTCCGGGGAGGGGGGGATGCCGGGGATCTCGTGGCCTGGTTTACATCTGTTTCATAGATCGTCCGAACCTCGTTCTAAAGAGGGGAGCGAGCTCTAAGAAGAGTGAGATGCCTATTTTCGTAAGATCCTGGTTTGTCGTTTCTCCCGGGGGGTCCGGAGCTCCGAGAGAAGTATTACGTACTCCTGCCACAAGCGATCATCACTAGAGCAGAGCTGCCATAACTCAGGGGTTCGATAGGTCCAGCCGAGGTGGACTCAATCAGACTCATGGCTCATGGTAGCATGCCTAGGTAACGAGCACGCTCCCAGGCCCGGAGTCTTCGCAATCCTACCTAACTTATGCGAAAGAGAATTGGTTATTGACAATGGATTTTGGGTAATCGTGGAAATAGATAGGGGTGCCCCGATCAATCTCGCTCCGTTCAGAGAAAGGAGAAAATAAATAAAAGAGACACGAAAAGAGAAAAAAAGAGAGAAAAACGAAAAAAGAAGAAAAAAGGTTTATGCGAACAAAATAATAATCCAGTAATTGAGACACACCTCGCGATTACCTCTTCCCATCGCAGTTTCCTACGGGGAAGGCTCGCAGGCGGGTCGGTGAACACGAGGGCTCGTCAGAGATTAAAGACCCATGGGTCTGACGTGTTTCTGTCAGGTCCTTGGTTTTCTACATCCCCCAGCTCGAACAAAATAAAATAAACACAAAAATGAAAATACATGAAAAGAAGTAAATAAAATTGGAAACAGGATTCGATTCTCATCGGTTTCGTGCTCCTTCAGACGAAAAAATTAATAATAAAAAAGTAAAAAACGTAAGTACAGAATGGAAACATAATCTATCGATCATCATTGGTCTCATTCTTCCTGATAGTGAGACAAACACAGCGACCTCGTTCTCGTGCAAGGACCATGCATAGTAAAAAACGTATATACAGAATGGAAACATAATCTGTC